AGGTCACCTGGCTGGTGAGCAGGGCAAGCTGGGACCTCTGCAAGGCCCGTATGCATACCCCAGCCCCCTGTGCTTGCGTGACAGTGCTTCTTGCTTACATTAAATTGCACGAGCTGGAGTGACTCAGAACTCTGTCCAGCAAGAAGGCATATGCACCACACTTTCTCTCCCTGCCAGAGACAGGAAGGAACTGCTCAAATATTGGAAGAAAGCTCAGGGAGGATGCCAGGCAGTGAGCCCTTCCCCACCTTCATCCTACGGAGGCTCTAGGCCATTTGTGCAAAAACAATAGGTTCATCTTTTAGGGTTTTTCTTTTAGTTATTTAAACAATGGTAGAAGGAAGGACCTCGTGTGTAAGAAGAGAGAAGCATGATGAGAAACTTGTTGAAGATATTTCCCTAGATGGAATCCTGTGGCCCCCTCCATGTGGAGACCAGCGGCCACTGTTCCCGCCAGTGAGTCTCTCACCTCTGCAGTAAGTTCTGAGGACCTTTTGGGGCATGGTTGAATACTTTCCAGAAAGCAACTGGATGTGGCAATTAACCTGTTGATTCTTGCAAAATATGACTTAAATAGTCATAAATCGTATTAAATAGTTGCTTAAATAGTCAACCATTCCTTGAAGGACAGAGATCCAAAACAGTTTCCAGAGTGCAATATCTTGGTGGTTCCTGCTGAAAGTGTAAAGCTGGTTCTCACACGAGTGTGCTCAGATGAGAGCACTGGGCCATGCCTGAAGAGGGAGGGGTACAGCTGCCCCTGTTGGTGACCCCGAACAGGGCCCTCAGAGAGGATCAGGCGAGAACAGCACTTCTCTGAAAAGCCATCTTGACAGCCCAAGTCCACTTGGCTGCAGCACCAAAGGCAGCTTTGATGTCCTCGCCAATGTCCCTGCCAGGAAAGGTTTGGGGCTGCTCCCAGAGGCCTAGCGAGATGTCCAGATGTGGGTGGGATGCTCTGCAGTTGGAGGGGGCCAAAGGCCAGGCTGGGGAGAAGGGAGCAGAGAGGGAGCCTCCCGCCGCTCAGTCCAGGAGCCAAGTGCAGAGTCTGAAGGACCAGGACAAGGATCTGGGCCTACTCCGGTCTACAAAATGAAAAAATGAGCTCTTCAAATTCTTGTGTGCAGCTGTCTCTCAACAACTCAAACCAGAGCCCCCGGGGGTCTTAGGGGGAGGAGGCAGCCCGCTGGTCTGCTGCTCATGTTGAGGACTGGGCAATCAGCAATCACTGGAGGACACTAACAGCCACACCTCCTGGCTCAGGCACGAGCCTCTCAGCAGACACTGCTTGCTGACGAGCTAAGTCCAGGGTCTCACACCCAAGTGCACTCGATGAAGGTCAAGCAGGTGTCTTCATCACATGACACGGGTTCAGTGTCCAACCACAAGTGTCACAGAAGTCCACCCATCCTCTCTTGTTGGTGCCAGCTGTGGGCAGAGCTTCCTGCCATGGTTGTACAGCGGCTGGAAACCCAGAGACTCCCAGGTGTTGAAAAAGTGGGTTTTCATTCATACAGGTCTTTTAAAGTACTGTGGGCCGACAAACACCATCTACAGGCTGGCTGAGCCCCATGAGTGGGCTGTGTCTGGTCTGAATAGATGCAAAGGGCCGGAGGCACGGGGCTGAAGAGCCACTGCTCCTGCCACTCTGCACTGTGTCCCAAGGGTGTCCTGGAGGACCCTGTGGCCTGGAAGAGAGCTCCATCCCACCAACACAGGGTGGTGGTCTTATTCAGCCTTACTCATTCTATCTATAAGAGTCAGTGTCAAGCACTTTGCCCCAGTGGTGAAGGGAGAGGATGGTGATTAATGATTCAACACTGCTTTCTACTGCGTGGTCAAAATCACCAAAGATCATCAACGAGTTTAGGGATAATTGCAGGGCAGTGTGTTGACTCATTATTTCTGAATAGTATGGGGAAATGATTTCTCTCCTTATTGTCTGCCCTAATATGAATAAATAGACTAAACTCTCTATAGGTGAAAGATAAGGAATAAAAAAGACCAGCATGACCAATACATCTTGCTATTTACTTATTTCATTAAACATGTTTATGTTGACAGTATAAGATTTAAAGAAAAGTTGCAAGAATAGTAGAAAAAGAATTTCCATATACTTTTCCTGATTCTTCAAATGTTAAAATTTTACCATGTTTGCTTTGGCATGAGTCTCTCTCTCTCTCTCTCTCTCTTTCTCTCTCCTCCCTTGTCTGTCTGTCAACCCTCCTCTCCTGAGCTGTTGAGACTAAGTAGCAGTAGCAGACATGTCACTATACCACTAAATATCTCAGAATGCATTTCTTAAACATAATGATAGTATTTTATATAATTATATCATAGTCATCAAATGAGGACATTAACACTGATACAATATTATTAGCTATTCTGGAGACCAACTGCAAATTTTGCCACTTGTCCTAAAAATGTCCTGTAGAGAAAATTTCTCATGCATTACCTTAGAAATGTTTATTCATGCTGTTGCTCGCAATGTCCAGTCTGGCCCCTTCCTTAAAGTGTTGTCTACCAAGTTACCCCATGAGACCCCCTATGGTTTCTTCTTAACTCAGTGAGTGACTTAGGGTTGTCTTGTTGGAGGACACCTGGAGATCCTGGAAACTCAGGGAATTGTCACCAGGGAATTTTAACAGCCACTTGTGACTCGTGGCTAAATCATTCGCTACTGTGAGTGCTGCTGTGACCAATTTGGATCCAACCACAGGAAGAGCTTTCCTTCCAATCTAACTTTACCTCTCACTATCAGTTCAAGGGTTAGGATTTCACTTAGTAGTTGAAAAGTCCTGTACCCTCCTTATTTATTCCCATGCTCAGATTATTCCTGACTTGCTCAGAGGAAGCCCCTCCACCCAGCTGTAACGTGTTCTCATCCTCTGCACTGACTCCTTCAAGGGCCCAGCCCTGTCTGTCTGTAATGTTTTTACCTAACTCAACTATCTATAATGGTAGCATGATTTATTCTAGCATTTTCCTACTGTCTTAGTCATGGTCTCACCTCTGGGACTCAACATCAGACACCCACCACTTAAAAGCAAGAAGTTTATTTTGGCCCATGTTTTCAGTTCGTGATTGGCCTGTTCCAGTGGAGGAGCCATGGTGGAGGGTCTGGTGGAGGAAAGCTGCTCACATCATTATAAAACCAGGAAGTGGGGCGGAGGAGCCAGGGAGGGAAAAAACCCTGCAGAATAATGGCTCCGGTGACTACCTCTCCCAGCCAGAACCCCCCCTAACATCCCATTTAGCTATAGCACCCTACAATGTAATCACTCTTCAAAAGCCTCATCGATGAGCACTTGAAGACTTGGGGAACATTGAGATACAACCCATAACACCTACATAGGGGATGTTGGTTGTATTTTACATAACATCACTGAATAGCAAAGATGGCTTTAACCTTACCGCTAAAAGCAGTGTTGTGATAAACGATCTTATGGGTGTGTATTTTTGAATTGCCACAATGAATCTTTGGGGTGGACTTCCAGAAGCAGGACCCCTGAGGCACAGGAAAGTGTGTATATGGTGCCATTAGAAGTGGCCAAATTCTCGCTCAGAAGAGTTGCACTTTTTTTTTTTCTGAGAAGCTATGAGCTACAAGGTCTGCATCTGTACATACCAGTGTGTGTGTTGTGCTTTGTGACTTCCACTAGTCTGTAGCTAACAAATGCCAGGTGTAACTTTATTTTATATGTCTCTAATTGTGAATGATGTGGAATGCTTTTCCTTTACAGAAGGCTAGTTTGAGTATAGTTTTGGTGAATTGTGTATTCATATATTTGTTCATTCCCAACAGTTACACTCTGTTTTTCCTCAAGTGGAAAGCTCTCTCTCCACTACAGATATTTGTGCTTTATCTTTAACACAGTATACACATTGTGAATATTTTCTCTCAGCATATCATTTTCATTTTTATTTGGTTTATTTTGGGTAAGGCAAATATTTTTTAAATTACATGGGCAAATTCACCACTGAAAAAATGAATTTGGATTTTGAATCATGATTAGGAAATGTTTCCTACACTTGAGTTATAGAGAAATTCATTCATGTTTTATTTAGTACTTAAAAATGATTTAATTTTCTTATGTTTAAATCACATCCATTTAAAGTTCATTCTTATGTACATTGTGGGCTATGAATCTAATTTTATCTTTTCCTTCAAATGGCTACCCATTGGACCCAGCACCATTTATTTTAAAAGTCTGTACTTGCATCAAGATTTGAGACGCCACCTGTATCATGCAGTGAATTTTATATGTTCTTGGATTCATTTACAGACTTTGTTCTGCTGGTCTCTTTTTCTAATCATGTACCAGGGCCATAAAACACAGTTCAAACTCTTACAAATTGTATCTCATGAGGTACCTGTCAGCTTGCAGTGAGACTGACCTGTATCAAATTACCACCACTCACCAGTTCGACAAAACCATGGATCTTACATATTTCCATCTAATATATGATTTGGGAACCACCTAGAGTGTACTGGCTAGTTCCAGGTGAAATGCAAAAGCTCCAGCCGGGAGGACTTCAGAACTTTTATCTTGCTGTTTTAGGTCCTTTCTGGTCCCTGAGACATAATCCCCAACACCTACAGCTTAAAGGAAGAGAGGTTTGTTGTGGCTCACGGTGTGTAGAAGTTTCAGTCCGTAGTTTGCAGGCTCCTAGGTGGGGTAGCATGGCAGAGGAGAAACAGCCCATGGCATGGCAGCAGGAAGCAGCCAAGGATCAAGGGAGGAGGAGGGAGACTGCCCTACCAGGCCACGCCCCCAGTGACCCACCTCCTTCTACCAGGCTCTACTTCCCAGATCCCATTTAGCCACAAACTCATGGGTAGAATAATCCACTGATCAGCACCACACCCCCATGACCCAGTCACCTCCCCAAAGCTCCATCTCCGAGCAGGAGCCTTTGGGGACACCCAGACATAAACCCTGACCCTAGCTGGCAGAGCCTGCCAATCATTCCGTCTTCTCTCTTCTTCCCTCCCCCAGTGATAGAGGGCCGCGGGGTTGCAGACAGCGTGCAGAGATTCTCCTCCTCGCTGCCGCCCTACCTGCCGGTGAGCTACAGCATCCGGGGCGCGGACAGCGCCTTCTTCCTGCAGGAAACGCAGCCACAGGACACGCTGCGCAACGCCAGCCTGCACACCAGGGTCGCATCCTTCTTCACCTACAAGGCCCGGCAGCCCCCGGTGCTGAACGCCAGCTATGGGCCTTACTGGGCAGAGAAGGTTGTGCCGCTGGAGCTCATGCTGAACTCCAACCCCTTCGGCCAGAGCGGCAGGTTTACTTTCGGCTGGAAGCTGAAGGCCTCCATCCTGCGGGAGAAGATCTACCCCAGCCGTCCCAAGGTGCAGGTCCTCTTCCACCTGGTGGGCCGGGACTGGGACGACGCGAGGCCCTCGGAGAGGCTGCCCTGCCTGCGCGTCTTCGCCTTCCGGGAGACCCGGGAGGTGCGGGGCAGCTGCCGGCTCGCCGGGGACCTGGGGCTGTGCGTGGCGGAGCTGGAGGTCCCGGCCGCGTGGTTCAGCGCCCCGACGGTGGTGTCCGGGAGGAGGAAGGCCGCGGAGCAGCCCGAGGGCAGCCCGGTGGAACTATACTACTCCGTGCAGCCGGGGGACGCGCGTTGGGACTGCGCCTCCGCGGGGGACCCCAGGGCGGGCAACGCTATCCGGCCCGGGAAGGACGGCGCCGAGGGGCCCACTTCGCGCCTGCAGAGCCTGGGTCTGGTGCGGCTGTACCGCGCCCCCGACGGTGTGCAGCTCAGGGAGCTGCGACTCGACAGCAACGTGGTCATCTGGCTGCCGTCGCAGCCGGCCAAGCAGGGGGACGTGGTCACGGCCTATGTCACTGTCTCCAGCAACTCCACCGTGGATCTCTTTGTGCTAAGGTAGGTGCTGGGTCTGTCCTACCATTCTCAGGAACCTGGGGTGCAGCTGGGCTCCAGCTGGGGTGATAGATGCTGAGCAAAGGTGGTGGACACTTGTTTCGGGGATCTCCTGCCTCATGCAGAGCCTGGGTACACCCGTACCAGGAACTCCCGTGCCCAGGTCCTGGGCAGCTCTGTTCACGTGTCTGGAGGGGATGGAGGGCAGGAACTATCCAGACCGCCAGGCTGAGGGGTTAGCCATCTTGTCCTTGGCTTTGGCTTTGGCTTTCATGCACATCCGCAGTCCTGGGTTGATGAAGACGGCACAGGTCAGGGAGCCCAAGCACTGCCACTGGGAGGATGACAGCTGTCATGAGTAAAAAGAGTGGAAAGAGCCCAGGTGACTCCCGGAGATGTGCTTTAATGTGTTGGGCTTGGGGAAGCCAGTAAGTGGCAGGGAAAGCTAGCGGTCAGGTGTGCCACTGAGCAGCGGACACATCTTCAGCAGAAGCCTGGGCAGCAGAGGTGGGGCAGGGCATAAAGCAAACAGACAAACATCCAAGTTAAGGCAACCACAGGTGATGGGGGTGTGACTCCCGTCCCCTCTGCTGGGCCAGTGAGTCGCCAAAGAGCTTTCCGAGAGTGGCTCTGTCCCTCTGTAAGCATCCTTGGTCAGGAGCACTGATTTCTAGGATAACTGATGCTGGGAAAGCCACGTAATGCAGATTCTCTTCACAAGAGGACGAGCATCCCATAATAACGAAAAAGTATTTGTTTGAGATGTATTTTAAAATAAAGATTAAAAACAAAAATTACCAAATAGGTTGCCTTTAAAGTTATGTTTAAGAGCAACTTAGGTTATCATTATAGCTCTGCTTTGGTGCTTTTTTAGCACAGAGAATGAGTCACATGTTGGATGAGTGCCTTGGAATAATGTCTGCAGAACTGATGCTGTGTTTCAGCAGAGGTCCCTTTTGCTTCAGTTTGGTAGTACGACTGCCAGGGTGGTTAAGTTTAAAGTTTTGCTTTGAAAACAAAGTGTTCAAAGATTTCACTGACCTCCTTAAAGTACTTCTTAGTCATTTGGATTCAAATAATTCTCTCTGAAGTTTCTGTCTTGTTATCATCTTTACAACTTTTCTTTCAAAATCTTGCTGTGTTTCGGTGCTGGGGAAGAAAACCTAGGGCCTCCTGCATGCTAAGCAAATGTTCTCTCTTTAAACTGCATCCCTGGCCCTCCCTCCCCTTCCCTCCCCTCCCCTGCCCGCCTCCTCTTCCCTCTCCTCTCTTCCCCTTCCCTTCCTTTCCCTTTCCAAATGGTCTAATTTTACAGAGTGTCATTGCTAATTTTTAAATGTGATTATGGGACTTTTATAACATTCATATCAAAAATATTATGAAATATTATACCTATTACAAGATTTAACATTTCACAGTTCAGGAAGTTCCCATCACAGTTCTCTGCAAACCTTCCTCCTTGACCAACAAGGGACCTGCCACATTGGTGCTGAGATAGAGACCTCTCCGACAGCGCACTGGAGACCTGTTGAGAGTGTCATCATCTTGTGTCTGTGAGGCCAGGACAGTCACAATTTGGGTGAAAGGATCCGAGTGTGTTTCCGGCTACCTTGGATGGGGGAAGACAGTGATCTGAGAGGTCTGAATGTAGTTGTTTTACTTCATTGGTTTTGGGTGATGCAAGATAATCACATCCAGCCCTGGCTTTAGAACTTGAAGACAGAAGACAAGGAACTGATCTCATTGCTAAGTCTGGGTGTATTACCAAGTCCTTATCAGCCTCACCTTTGCCTGTGGTTAACTTTGGTCCTTAGAAAGTGTGAACTCTGCAGTCATCTAGCAAGGGTGACTATGAGCAGAGCCACGGGTGCCCTTGGGTCTAAGGTCCATGGCCCTGGTCTGCACATGGGATTCCCTGACCTGACCTGCTGCAGGGGAGGAGCCTTTGTTTGTATTTCCCATCCCAGCATCTGCCCTGGTTGTGAACAGGACCTCAGCTCTGGTCCTACCTCTTCTGCATAGGTTCTGTGAGACCTCACCCTCCTTTTCTGAACTTCCATTTCTCAGTTTCTTCTTAAAAACAAACAGCATGATAGTACCACTGTGGCAGTGCTTTAGTGGGCTGGTACTTCTTTGTAAGTTACTCCTGACTGTGTCTGGCACATACAAGTGTTGAATATTACCAACAAGATGTTTTCATTTTTATTTTTTTTATTTTTAAAGATAAAAGAACTAAAATGTAATAATAAACACTCAGATATAAGAGAAATAACATAAAAACAATGAAGCCAATACAGAATTTCAGACAGGGTGATCAGAAATTAACAGTGGTTGTTGTATTACATACCGTTATCTTCATATTGGTTACTCAGATAAATATAGACATGTAAGAATGATCAGATAATTAAATATCAACTGTTCCTTTCAAGAAAGCAATAGAAATTAGTAGTACAGTTATCGCAGCTGTCTTGTCCAACACAGTTTTTTTAAATATCCATCCAGCCTTCAGTAAAATTTGGATTCACTTTAACTGTGAAAGGATGTCACGCTTTGCCTAAAACAGCAACTGTGGGTTTGTCTGCAAAGCTCCATCAATTCCCACTTCACCATGGTTTTGTCAAAAGGATGATATCTTTCTGTAATGACAGAGGGTGGTAATGGGATGTGGGACTTGGTCACATTACGGTGTGGTTCCCCACCATCCACAGCCACAGCCTTATTCTGTCCCCTGTGACCTTTCCACACATAGCTCAGGGTCTGCCTCACCTCTTCCTGTTCAAGAAGAGGAACTTCCTGTTCAGCCCAGGTCATCTCCCTTTTCCTCTGACCTTATACCAGAAACAACGTTCGTAAGGGCTACAGAGCAACTGCCCCTAGGAGACCCCAAGCACAAGAGGACCCAAGCACACACACAATCCAAATATTGGTGTCTCAGGCAGATTGGAGTTCAGATTAAAGGTCTGAACACCTAGATTAGCAGTCTCCATTACCCTCAGGATAGAACTCCGCTCTTTATAGATGGCTACAGACAGTAGAGCCCTCTTGGGGCCTTGGGTTGATTGGAATGCACAAGTGACCCATTCCGACAGTTTGTCACATGCAGTGTTGCTCTGTGTGGCCTCTCTTTCTACTTTCTTCCTTCCCTGTTTCCCCCTCTTTCTTTACCAAAGCCTCTGAAGCGTTCCAAGGTTCCTTTTTATTAATTTTTTAAATTTTTAACTAATCATAGACTGATAAGAAGTGGCAGAAAGTGATAAAGCCATTTCCCATGCCCCTTCTTGGAGTTTCCTCTAATAAGTATATCTCATGTAGCTTTTTTGGCAAAAGAAAGACAGATTGCAGTCTCCAAGCCTCCTCCTTTGCTTCCTGGAAATTTGAAACTTTGCTTTGTTGTTGTAGTTTATCTTTATAATTATTTTTCTTTTGTAATCAAACTACGAACACAACAGGTTTCCCATTTTCAATATGAATAATGTGGTGGTTTTTATGTAGATGTCCTACAAGAGCTGCATTCCCTCAGAGGCAAGGCTTTCAGGAGATGACTGGATCATGAGGGCTTATGGCCAACTTCCTGTTAGGAGGTGGGGTTTGGGCAGAAGAGGTGGGGCCTAGAGGGTTTCTCTCCCTGCCCAGCCCCTCCCTTCTCTGTCTACTTCCTGTTCATCCACACTGCGAGCTGCTCTCCTCCGCCAGGCCCTTCATCCAGGCTGCTCCTGCCTTGGAGCCCAGCAGGAACTGTGGACGAAAACCATGACCCAAAATAAACCTCTCCTCCTTTAAGTTCTGAGTGTCAGATGCTTTGTCTCAGTGACAAGAAAGTGACTAAGACAGATTTAATGTTTCTCTCCTTTCAGTAAATCTTTGTTCACCTGATATTTATGGAACCCACTTGCCAGGCATTATTTCATAGCAGTGAAGCAATGATCCGCTCCCTGCCTGGGTGGACCTGATGCTCTTGAGGGGGGAAGTAAACACCATCAAAACAAGGATAAAAATGCAATGTACGGTGATCGATGATTTACAAGAAAAGAACCAGGGAAGAGGAATAGAGCTGAGGTGCATGCAGGCCTGCTGAAAAGGTGTCTTGTGAACCAGGTGTGGTCTGGGGAGAGCCACAAGGACAAAAGCCATGAGGCCACCCTTCTGAAGTGTTGCTGTGAGAACACTAGGAGGCCATCGTGGCCAAATAGGATGGAAAGAGGGACAAGTAGGGAGGTAAGCTCAGGCCAAGCTGCAGTCTGTGTCAGGCAGGGCCTCATGGGCCCCCAGAAGGACTTGTCCTTCACTCTGAGTGACAGGAGGATGATGGAAAGTTTCAAACCAAGAGTGCTGTAGCCTAACTCAGCTTACGTATTGCGGTGGTCCAGGCGAGAGAGGACGGTACACTGGCTCAAGCTGGCAGCAGCAGGGGTGTAAGGAGCATGCATATTCCAGAAGTTACAGCTGGAGCTGCCTGAGTCATGGGCACACGTGGGTGAGGAAACGCAGGCCGTGAGGACCGGAGATAGGAAGGGGCGGGGTAGAGGGAGCTGCTTCTGGGATGTGAAGCCTGGGAGAAAAACAGATCTGCACTCTATAGACACCCTTGGGTTCAGATTGAATTAGAGTGTGTTTCCATTCTTAGTGTCACATCCTTGTTTTAGGGAAAGGTCATTCAGTAAGCAGATGACATAAGGGGCACACACAGACGTGGCCTGATGAATGGGACGGTTGCTGAGGCCAGGAAATCCACTCTTCCTGTCCAGCAGGCATGGGGCTTCCCCAGGGGGAATTTTCTGGGGGACTGCAGGATCCCGATGATCTCTGCTGACAGTGAAATCCACAGCCTCCTGTGTCACTTTGCATGGTGGCCTCATGGACCAAGCTGGTATTCAGGAAGACTGTGGACTTTGGGGGAATTTTTAGGGGCCTTTCACATCTGTGGAAACTTGGTATGGATCCCCCTGAAGAATCATTGTCACAGTGCCACTCTCTCAGAGGCAGAAAGAAGGCAAGTTGTTTAC